GAGTGTGATGCCTGCAGCTTTCCATGTGATGTCCCAGTGCTTATTTCCCGGTCCTTTATATTGGGCACACACATGGTCAACAGCAATTTAAATGTTATCACTACTCATCCCCTTTAACAGCAAGCAGCGAGGCAAAGTTTCAATACAGAATATAGGCATAAAGCAGAAACATGGAGTGTAAACAGGAGGAGCAGGCTAACAGCTAACTACACAGGGAGGCAGCACACCCAGACACTGGGAACTGCAAAAACTGACACATGGGCACAGCCAGGCAGAAACGTGTGTGTGTTATGTAGGGTACACATGCACCTGTTGGTAAGTGTGACACCTAATTGCTGCTATCAAGACTTCTAAAACATAGGTGTGACTTGCATAAAATACCACCAGGCATACACCAGTATCTCCTGGATTTCATTGCCATCATTAGGGGTTTGAATGTGCAATGACTGTGAACTTATAGGATCATTATTATATTATAACAGGTAAAATCATGATCCTTCCCATGAAACTTCATAGAAGTTCTGTCATCTGCTCCAGCAAAGCTACTCAAGATCCCTATTGCTTATATGGACCAGGAAAACCTGGTAACTTTTCAATGATTCAGGTATTGAAAAAGGTAACAGACAAGGAGATCAACAAGGTGCATTTCAAATGTCAGTGCTTAGAAAGGTCTGTCTCTTTTCCTTTAAACAGCAGCCTCGTTAAATGGAAAAACTGCATCCTGTTTGTACTAAGCAGGTATTTTAAATAATCAAAATAGCTGTAAACTGGTTATTAAATAATTGTCATACAAAATATAATTAGTGCTCCATCACTAGGAAACTAGTTAATTTTACTGCTTATCACAAGCACATCACCCAAGTACTTTAGCACTGGAAATGCAGAAACATGATATATATTATTCAAAAAAATCTGTGGTATGCATTGTTCAGTTAGAGGGAACTTCACTATTCTCAGCTGGTTTTAAAAATGTTTCTTTAAAAAAAGAAATATAATTCTAAAATAGTTCATATTAGTGGTCTCTGTTAAATTGGAACTAATATCAAAGATACTTTGCTACAGCCTTATCCAGAAAGACTGTCTTCAGGAGTAACAAAAATCTTTATGGAAACTGGCAATGCTTATTAGACTACATTGACTATGAACACAGGGACAGGAGATTAGACTGGACTGAAATAACGATACACATACAGGACTGTAACACAGTATCTGTCAGAGAGGCACACATGAAGACCTGAACATAGGCAAAATGGTGGTAAGTAAATTAGTAACAGATGAAAGGATGGTTCAAGAAGAACAAAACTGGAGAAATTAGGCTCAAAAGAAAATACATAGACAAGCAGAAGCATTGATGGGAATGGAGATGCTTTAAAGAGCTGTTGCATGTGTCTTTTTAAAATAAATAATGCTTACTTTTCAAAGCAGAACGTGTTATATGCACCAAGGAGATGACCGTAAAATGAGATATGCAGCAAAAACACGGTAGCCCTCCAAGCATTGCTGAAAACAGAAAACCCTATGCATTTTACAGCCTCAACATGGTGAATATAAGTTTGGCAGAAATGCATAAACGGCATTATAAGCAATGCTACTCACTCTGGAGGTGAATGTTAGCAAGCATGGTGGCTTAATGATGATGCTGAACATTGAATGGAATGTCAAAATAAAAAATTTGGAATTCAAAAGAAATTTGAAAAAGAAACATATATGCACCATGGCATCAGAAAATGACCATAAAATGCAAAAAGGTGATGGAGTGATATGGAACAAACCTTGGAGAAATATCGCATCCTTGCTGCATAAAGGCACCCAGGGAAAACCAAAGGCTGTTAAATATTCCAAACTCATTTGGAGGGTCAGGAGGATTCTGAGGGTCACGTGGTTCTTCAGTGTTGTCTTCCAAGTGCCATTCATAAGGGCTGAATCTGCTGACTAGGAAAAGAACTACGCTGACGCCAATGTAAGCAAAGACTATACACATCCAAATTTCATAAGCCAAAGGATCCAGGAAAGAGAAAACGCCCGGTTTAGATTTCTGAGGCTTCTTGATCATGATGGAGATGCCCAGGCTCATAAAGGGTTTGGAAAAGTCTATGACTTCTTCTCGCACCAATGTTATGGTGAGGGGGGCAACAGCTATATCTGCTCTCTGAAAATGGAAAACAAACCCAAGTTAGTTACAAATCAGATGCAAGAAAATCACAGTCTAGAGTCTCAGACTAACAAATCAATTATAAATTACAAGAGAGAGTGGAAACATTTTCTTTGCAGCCTATTTTGCAGTCATTGAAGTTAAGGACTACATGAAATTCATAGAAAATTATTAACAAAAAAAATGACAACTGAATCTATGCAAGGGGGTCATGACAGAGGCAGATACTTCTATTAAGTTAAAATGGATAAATAAACACTACACAAACTGTACAGTGAGAAGGCAACTAAAGTAATGCCATTTTCTAGTAGTGGTCTGTATCTACCCATCTGTCTTGAAGACTTCAGGCAAATTATGTGTTTGTTATATTTTAATTGTCTCTTTTTCATTCTTTCAGCGAGTTTTTTTATCTTATTGATTAGTCCAGGATCTTTAAAAGGAACCTAAGAGAAGTAATCAGTCACTGAATTTCAGCTGCATTTGGATACTACTAGTTGTATACTCCTTTGAAAATCCATTGCAATAAGGGACAGAAGATGGCAAACAGTGGGGATAGAGGAACCAGCCCAGCCTTTCTGTGGGCACTGAAGAACAGTAACACAGATCTCTGAATCCCTGTGTTATCAGAGAAGACTGTAAAGCAGTATTTTTCAGTCTCAGGTATGCCCTATTGTTTTACAGAACTTGGCTCTACAGCCCTGTAACACAGACCGTGTTCTGGAGCTGTGTCATCTGGAAGCACAATCACATCTATTGCATCTGTCATTCACCAGCATGCAGGTATACCCTGAACCAGCACCCTTCCCCTCAATCAATATGTTTTTGCTGGATTCCATGGGAGGGTAGGAATGTGGAAACAAATTACTTAGCTTCCTGATTAGAAATAACATTCCATAATAGATTTCCAACATATTTGACTGTATCTGTATTTCTGTGCCAGAAAGATTCAAGACATGCTGTTTAAATAATCTAGTCTTGATCCAGCCAAGTACTCATGCAGGTGTCACATCAGAGGGGACCAGAATGTTAAAAAAAGGAACCTTTTCACTCAAAACTTATTGTTATGAGAGTCTACATACCTACACACACTTCTTTGTAATCAATTTTAAACACTCTAACTATTCAGGCTATTGATACTTTTAAAGAAGGCCTTTCCTTGGTAATTAAGAATTTGAGAAAGAAAAAAATGATTCTTCAGGTAACCTTAACTTACCAGTACCTAAATCACTGTGCACCATATAAATCAGATTTTTGTTTCCCGCTAGTAACTATATATCTTTCTCTAGTGGAAAAACAAAGCCTGATTAAGTAGAGGTTTGAGTGAAAGTTAATAGGAAATGTTAATAAAAAGTGATTAAAATCTGTGCCATAAAATAATTGAATATGCCTTTATGTAAATCTGATGGTGATGTACATGACTGTCATTAATATGTGGTTTGCTCCTCCTCCTAGATAGTTGGTTTGGGTTTTCATTTTAAGTTTAATAACCAGAAATGCCAAAGCTTCTCATAAGGCTAATCTGAGTATCATGGGCTCTGTGCCCACTGGTGCCAAGGAGCACCATGCAGCCATGCCTGGGGCACTTGTGTGGGGTTTGCAGACCAAGGCTAGCGGCAGCCTTGTCGGATGAGGACTGGCCCTCTCTCCATGGGGCACACATAACCTCTAGGGTTGCTCCAGACACTCAGGAATCTCTCTCGACAGTTTATACTGGCATGTGCAACTACAAGGTATGTGCACAAGTTCACCGCTTGGAATAATCAGATAAACCATGCCTGTGCACATAAGGAAGCCACTTGGAAATCATGGCCCTCGGTACCCTCTCTGACAGCCCCTTTAAACAGTCCTGTGCACTAGGACACTGCCTTTCCCCTTGCGTGACTGCTTTCCTGGAGGGGAAAACCCTCAGCTGATTTGTGGCCACTTGATGTAAAAATCTAGCTTAACGTGGCTTGAATATAAAAACTGAAAATGCCTTTGGATGCCTGAGTGTTTACTGGCTTTGCAGATGAATGTGTTCATCACCTAAGTAATGGAGAGACTTGGAGGGACATGGGTAGAGTGAGGTAATGGGACCGAATGACATTGGAACTCGTTCACTGAACAATTCCCCTAAAACATATATTTGTCTTGTAGCTGCTGCTTGTTGAGCTACTGTTAAATATTAGATGTCTGCAGTCAGTATGAGATGCACACAGAATATCAGTTTGAAATGTAGTCAGAGTTCACGGCTGGCTGGAAGACTAAGCACTTTGACCATGGCCACTGTACTTTGTGTTGAACTAATGAGGTACTTACAAATTAATCCTTATTAGAGCAAGCTTAATGGATCAGGACCCCTGCAGAGACTTAGCAATGACTCTATGTGAAGTTAGGTAGGAGGTAGGTGCCTTTCTGCCTGGCATTTCTGCACATGGACTGCCAGCCTTGGAACATCTTGCCAAGGAAGGAAAAGGCTGCTTCAGCTGTAAGAGCATCTAGTTTCTGGAGCATTTTCCTGGACTTGGAAAAATTTAATTCTCCCAAAGTAATATTTTAATTGCCAAAGTAGACACAGTAGAGCTCTTCCTAAGTGCTGATGCAGCATGCAATAAGGGCTGTATCTCCTTCATGCGCAGCTGAGTTCATGCAGGATATTCCTGTGGGTCTTTGGGGGGGATGAAGCTGATGCTGTGCTGAAGCACAGACAAATCTGTTTTTAAAGGCCTGATTGTTACCATGTCCTCATTCATATCATGTAGCACAGATTTCTTTGTAAATAATTTCAAATTGCATTTTAATATTCCAAGGGATAAAAATATTTATTTTTCTGATATATTTCAGTCTTCCTGCTTTCCTACCAAAGACATTCACTGTATTGGAAGCACCAACAAGCTCCCTCATTCCCTCATTCCTAACAGAACATGGCAGCAATCAGTTTCTGCACAGGGAACAAGTATAAGTTCACACACAGGGGCTCAGGAAACCATCAATAACCAGGGCACTGAGAGTGGACCAGCTACAATCCAGTACCCAAGCCTGGTTCCCTGCCACTTCCCTGAATATTAGTTGCACTAGGGAGGTTAAAAACCAGTCTACATTTTGCTTATTTGTTTAGAGATATAGTATTTGAAATGGAGAGCTTATGGAGAGGTCTAAGCACCCTAAAGGATCATTAATAACTGCAGCACAGTTGTGACTTTCCCTCCCTGTTATGGCTGCAGATAAGCAGAACCCACACAAATTGGGCTCGATAAAAGAGAACACAACCACAAACATGCCCCTCCCTGTGCAGAACTGGAGGGGGGTTTAAGAACCTCAACAACTAAGCTTTGCTAATCACTCATGACTAATGGCGTTTCAAACATCATCTTCACTGCATTTGAGCCGGGCGAGAAATGTCATGGATTCCTCTGAGGCTTGTTCTGTCTTTGCCTACTAGTGTGGGAGGGATGGATTTAGAGGACATGCAGCACAGAGGCTCTGCCCACTCTGCTCAAAGCTGACCCCGGGGGGCTGAATCTGCCCACTCTGCTCAAAGCTGACCCCAGGGGGCTGCAAACCTCAAGACTCTTATGGGGAGGGGAAAAAATAGCAAATGGAAATATCCTTCTACATGGAGAAAGAAAAAATGATAAGATGTTCCACCTCTGTAATCCAAAAGGAGGGACAGAATTCTTCTGCCTACAGACCTACAGATGAGCCTCCCTAACTTCAAAGCCATGCACTAGAGACAGCAAGAGAGACAGGCTATGCTCCTGCCTGTACAAGCTTCAGGTCATTCCTGCCTGCAGAACTGAACTCTCTGAACTCTTTGTGTGTCAGTTTTCAAGAAGTGGATCTGGGCTACAGTCACTTTGCAAGTTCTTTGTGTGATGGGAAGCAAGGCAGCACTCCATGTGCCAGCTGAAGCAGAGGGACACTGCCCAACTTCCATTGGCAGCCAAACCTCTGGGCACCCCAAAAGTGCTGAATGGAGGTACACAGCAGCATCAGAAGAGACTGCACTGGAATGGTGACTGAGTACATTTTAAGACTTCTCAGTGCAGTTTGAGGTTTCCAGGTATCAGAAAAGTGCCAGATAGAGCAACACTACCTGTGATATCTGCAGGTTAAAGCTACCTTTCTAAAGACAATCCAGTATCCCCAGGAGTACTCAGGGTGTGTTGAGAGGCCAGGTCATGGGGGCAATGTGTTTTTAACACATTAGCTCACACTTATTTAAAACCAACAGCTGATATTTGACTAGCAACATGCTCTATTGAAGTCTTAATGTGTACTAGCTGAGCAGTGTAAAAAGGTATTAAGGTGTTAAAGCAGCAGTTGGCCTTGTCTGCTGCAGTTTGTCAATGTTAAGTCCATTTGTGCTTTGTGTGTATGCCCACAGCTCTTTCTGACACACTACTATCATATGCAGATGAAGACATAAAGGGTACATCTGCTTTTGGAGTTTTGGACATATGTGTGCTTCCTTTGTCTGTGCTTGGACCCAGGTCAGCCAAAGTCCTAGACCACAGCAGTATGGCTCTGTGCCAGGGCTGTGATCCCATCCCCCCATGCAGCACAGTGCCACCACAGCACAGCAGCTGCCCAGGCAGGGACCCTGCACCTATCCATGTGTGTACAGGATGAGGGTCTGCCTGAGCTGCAGGGCACCAGCATCACAAGGCTGTCTTTGGGGACCTGTACCTGGACTTCCCTTCTGCAGAAACCAGGGGTGAGGGGCAAACAGCAAGCTTCACCCACCCACTCATGGCACAGTCAGGCTCTGCCAAGGACTAAGAGCACATGAATGTTGTGAGGAGAACTAGGAATTGAATTAACCCTCCTCTCTGCCACAATTCAAAGACTGTATATGCCATTTGTAATCTTCAGCTGCTGGGAGAGCCAGAGAGACCAGTGCCACACCAGGCTGGTTAGTCTGCTAAAGGCAGGGAGATGTGTCGGTGGTCCCACTCTGACAGACTGTAGAGGCTGAAGCATTCCAGGGACTGCTTGTCCTTTACATCCCTGCTTCGTTCCTTTGTGCTATTTTACATATTGAAAGGCATTTATAAAGACTTTTTCTAACCTGAGGACAGCTTTAAAGGCTGTAAGGTCTGGCTGCTCTTTTCATTCCCAAAGCATTTGTAGTTACAATTAAGATCTGTGTTAAACCTACTGTCAATTAGCCTCAGCGCTGTGAAAAGCATCAGGCCCAGGGAGGGATGGCTTTCCCTGGCTGAACAGTGATGGAAAAACAGCAGACTGCTTTAAAAGGGAAAGAAGAAATAAAAGCCTACAGAAAGAGGCTGACCCTACAGAAGAGAAAAGACAACTGTCTAGTGCTCAGCAGCTGGTTAGTACAAAGCCCTGAGCACTGTTCTCATGGGGTGTGAGCTGAGGGAGGAGCTGCTGCTCCTCAGCCCCAGCAGAGGGCACGTCCTCAGCCAGTGGGTCACCAGAGGACAGCACTCGCCTCGCTGGATTGCCCTTGCTGGTTAGATTTAAATAGTGATTCAGTCTCCTGGTCTGAGAATGATTTAGCTACTTCCCTATTCTGAAATGCCCAGGAAAAAAGCTTTATCTATTTTCTGGTTTTATTCTGTCAAAAGTTTCCACTATGCTTTCGAAATTTCTCTTAAGTTTAAAAAATAATAGTGCTTGAATTGGTAGATTTTTTTTCAGGTAGGATGAAGAGTCTTTTTTTGACACCATCAGCATAAAAGAACAAAGGATTTTTTCCAACCTGAACTGACATTTTTTGATCTACAAAAAATCAAATAAATTTCATTTTCTGTCAATTTTCTTTATAGTTATTAATAATTATTACTATTATCATTACTACTACTATTACTATCACCAACATTTAAAAATTGCTAATAAAACACAAAGCCCCGTTAGCTCCTCTCTGAAGCAAAGGAGTTTGGGAATATCTGCTCAGGCAGGACTCCCTGCCTCCAGGGCTGCCATCCCTCTGCAACCAGGTGCATTGGTACAGCCCCTTGCAAAGCCACAAGGAAAGGCCCAAGAGGGGCAGCTGAGATTGTCAACTTCAGGGACCCTATGGCACAGCTGCCTTTTATACCCTACAACCAGCCCTGAAGTGATATGAGACAGGGGAGGGAGAATTCCTAATGACAATTATTTTAGTGTTTAAATGGTAATGTGTAACTCTTGAGACTGCTCCAGTTAGCTTAGTTAATGTCAACCTCCAACTAGTCTTACACTGGAGTCAGGGCTGTGCCAGTCAGCCCTAGGACCCTCAGTGTGGTGACACAGCACCCCTGTTGCTTTGGGTCCAGCTTAGTGCAGACTGAGCCTCCTCCCATCCCACCCATCCCTCCCCTCCTCGCCATTCCGAGCCCTCCAATGCAGTGGAGCACAGAATCAGGAGGCTGCATTTCTCTCCTGATTCTGTGCTGCTTTCCACAGGAAGCAAGAGTGATAGTGACAGCAAACTGGCACAAAAGAAACATTAGGGTTTTGACATTGAAATGACAAGTCATTCACTTCCTGTCCTAAGAGGAAGGAAAGAGTCCTAAAACTGTCCTAAGAGCAATTTTAGAAGAGAGTTGTATGCATGGGCCTATGCAAAAAAGGGCACAGTATTCAAAAAGCCATGCCCTAGTAGTGTCAGGTGGTGGTGAGGAGGCCGTTGGGTCAGGAATACACAGTTTTTGACAAATGACTAGTCACTGTTTATCACTTGAGACAAATGCAATCTGAAGGATTGTGTTTCTGCCACAGCTCAGCTCAGCTGCTGGATAACTGGTACCAAAACCAATCAGGCCCTTTTTATCCCCACAAGTCTGTCTTCCATACATGCTAATAAAGGTTCTTAAAATCTAATCTCCCTCTTCTCCTCCCAAAACAGAATCCAGAGGAGCCAAATTTGACAGTCATTTTGCAGACAAGACTTGCAGGGGCATTAGGGGTAATGTACAGTTTAGTTCCCTAATAGAGTTTTAAGCCCCTGAGAGATAAAGGAAAGTCAGTGCGTAAATGAGGCACTTGCTCCAAATAATTAGCACTTCTAGAGCACTTTTCATCTTCAAAGGGCTTAGTGCACATCCTTGCCAGTGTGGAACATCCCCCTCTCAACAGATGGAGAAAGAGGCCAAGGGCATTTCATGATGTTTGCAAATAGAGCTGGGAAAAGGTCTGGAGGGCTGCTGAGGTTTGTACTCAGGAGTTCAGGGGCTGTTTTTCCTGTTTACAAAAAGCCAGGTGGATTTCCGTGCAGCTTGCCAGCTCAGAAGTTCAGCTCGGCAGGCCGGGGAGCTGGCTCAGCAGCGCAGGGCTGTGCGCATTAACCTGGGCCTGCACTCAAACCTCACGGGATGCATCTGACCTTTGAATAATTGAGCACTGCAGTGAAGAGGCCTCAGAAACAGAGCTCACTGCGGGAGTACAGGAGCTGTTGGGGGTCAGGGAGGAAAACATTCCTCAATTTTTTATTAACGAGAAAACACAGATGAAAGCTGTGCTTAGAATATGAAGGAACAGACCTTTTTGCAGGGAAGGTTTGGGGTTGTTTTCAAGTATGGTCTGTGGTGTCTGTGGAACTGGTTTTTGCTGGTGTGGAAAGGTCACAAGTATGGTTGGGGTCATGGGCATGTGGTTAGGACTAAGTTTGATGCTAAGGAGGCAAAGCTCTGTGATCTTGGTTTGTCCCAAGGGGATGTGGAAAAGGCAGCTGCAGCCAACCTGTTTATTACAGGGGTTTTGATTGGAAGAGACCTTTAAAGATCTTCTAGTCCAACCTCCCTACAACAAGCAGGGACATCTTCCATTAGATTAGGTTGCTGAGAGCTTCATTCAGCCTGACCTTAAGCACTTCCAGGGATGAGGCATTCATAACCTCTCTGGGCAACCTGCAGGTCCTCAGCACACTCACAGAAAAGAATTTCTTCCTAATATCTAATGTGAATCTACCCTCTTTCAGTTTAAAGCCATTCACCCTTGTCCTACATGCCCCTGTAAAAAGATCCTCTCCAGCTTTGTTGTAGCTCCTTTAGGTACTGGAAGGTGCTCTAAGGTCTCCCTGGAGCCTTCACTTCTCCAGGCTGAACAGCCTCAACTCTCTCAGCCTTTCCTCACAGGAGAGGTGCTCCAGCCCTCTGAGCAATTTTGTGGCCCTTTATCCAGATGCTCTTGCATTGCACAGCAGCTGCATAGGCTAATCTTACTCGGCTCAAGTCCCAAAAGCAATGGCCCACATCACACTTTTCCTCCTCTGGTGTAGATAGTCCTTGTGTCCTGACAGTTAGCAGCAATTTCAGGTTCTCTTTTGCCATGCTTTTTCCATATGGTATGATTATTTTCTTCAAGTGAACAAACTGTTTCATTGCTTGTCACTTGCAAATATATCAAAAGGACCCAATTACAGCTGATACTCTTGATATTTCTTGAACCACACAAAGAGAAGCTGAGGGTTTAGGTTTCCAATGCAATGTAATTTGCTTGGAACAAAACTAAACCTTTGCTTCAGAGGTTCTCAATGGACTTATGTTCTCTAAGAGAGCAAACATCAGTTTTCCAAATCACGTAACTGAGGCATGGGGAGTTCAGAAGATTTGCATAATGTCAAACCTCAATGCAACAGAGAAGCAAAGATGTAATCCATGGTTCCAGACCCCTGTTGGGTTTTTCTAATCAGTAGACTTCCCTCTCCCCCAGTATGATACAACAAAAACATTGTTACTTTTATAAAATATTTTGAAGTCAAATAGGCTATCAAGTATAGAATAAGGCATCAGGACTGACTGCTCCAGACTAAGAAAACTTGCAAATCCAGCAATAACTTTAAAAATACTGATTCATTTTGAAAATAATTATCTCACCAAACATTTTGCAAGAATGTTAATGTATTATCCCAAGGAAATTTTGAGGTGACTTTTAGAAATTGCACTCAGCCATGGAACAAAAGGAGGCAATTGAAATATTCGTTTCTGTTCAGAAATTGTTAATAAAGGAAAGCTTGTTAAAAATAAACTGTAAAAAAGATTTGGGCGGAATCACAAATCATCTCATTAGCATTTGGGGGATAAAAAAGCAAAGATGAATTATCAGCCTGAAAAGTCTTTTCTGCAAAGCCAATTTTCTCCCCCTTCCATCTGGTTTATCTGTATTCCAAAATTCTCAATTTCAAAGAAGTTTCTAAAATGGCAATTCCGGACTGTTTTTGTTCTTACTAAACAAAGCAATGTACACCCAATATAGAAATATAAAGAGGAATGCAATGAATTAGGCTTTTTTTTTTGTGTGTGTCTGACAGTAGATTTTTAAAGCCAAACCCATGGTTTAAAATGAAAAAAACTTGTGGGTGATTTCACACCTGCATTGCTTCTTACCCAGAAAAGCAACCATGGGGCTGAGTCTTTAGTCTCTGATCAAACATGAACAAACACCAACGAGGGCCAACATCACAGACCAGACCTTTAATGGGAGGGACAGCCTCCCAGCACTTAAGAGACTGAACCAGAAAAAATGTGGCAAATGAAGAAGAAGCATATGAAGGGCAAACTGGAAATTCTGCTGAAAACAAGAATTTGAACTTTGCCCAATGCTACTTCTCAACATTTTGTGGACTCTGAGAATAGCAGTAAAAAAGTGACACTTTCCTGCAATGAAACAATTAGAAAAGTAGACTATAAAAATGGCACTACAAAGAAATATCTAGAATTTTAAAGATAGTATTCAAACAGATGATCTTTATTTTGCAGTTTATTAACTTTGAGCATAACTTTTTATAAAGAACATTAAAATGAAGGTTAAGAGAAACTTACCCCATAGACCAGTTCACCCACCATGCCATTCCATATCTTAGTCTCAGGGTCCCTAGCTCCATATTTCCCATCTCCAACAATTGACAGTTTGTATTTTATTCCAACATGTTTTGCTATTTCAGAAGCTAAGTCTACACAATATCCTTCATATCTCTCATTCCCTTCTAGTTGTTCATGGTTTTTCTTATACATTACATATGGTGATTCCTTTGAAACAAAAGTAAAGATCAAAAGTCTATGAATGTAAAATACAGCTGTAAACCACACAAAATGAGAGCTGTTATTATCCTTTATATTACTGGCAAGTATTTACAATATTTCCTGCTTGGGTACAGAAATTAGACAGATAGACATCTGCAGTTTAAAAATCCTTGGCTGATCCTACAGCCACACATACTATTGATTGTATTCCTAGTATAGACCCATTGAAGACAACAGGACATTTAAACAAAGTTACACTTCTCTTTTTGCAGGATTAGGCCTGATTAGACAGTCAAATACCATCACTGTAGTAATAATTCATCTTTTAGTGTTTAAAGACTGACATACCCACCACCTGTACCATCAAAATAATCTCCTAATGCCCCAGTGGCCTGGAATGGGGCTCTGATGGAGATATTTTCAAAGCAGCCTAAGGGAAGCTAGGCTAAAATCCTCAGCAGCACTTTTTGTCACTGAATTCCCTTAGCCTTCTTGGAAAATTCTAGCTGAAATGCTGATTACATCTCGCTAAATCCATAGGAGTATAAAATACAATGCTTCAGGAAATAGCATAAAATTGGCTCATGCTTAGTAAAATTGTAACAGGCATAAAAGTCACAATGAATACTGTACAGAGCAGGTCTGCTAGAGGCGTTGGGACTGACACAGGTGCCGCTGCTCGTGAGACACGGGAAGAGCTTTGCTCCTTTGGAATTGCACAGGTATAGGTCGCTTTTCACCCAGTGCTAGAGCAGTTCCAGTTCTCTACAGGCTTCATTGTGCCACCCTTACTCAGTCCACAGGGGTTGAGTTTACAGGAGCTGTACCTGAGTGAGGGGTGCAAGATTTGACCCTACAGCAGGAAGGCCAGATACTGTGGTCATTTACACACATGCATAACAAATTCACTTAAATGAGGCATTTAACTGAGTTCAAGTGCCCGAGAAGCAGCAAAGTACATTGAGCTCATTGAGCTCCTCTAGTGAGCAAACTTACTAATATACATGTAAGTTTGCAGGGTGGAGTCATCAGAACATCTCAGGAAGATACTGAACTTTTCAGTCACTTGAAGTCACACAGTATTTAACATCTGCCTCCTGGCAAGGTGTCTAACACACCGCAGGAGCCATGTGTCTTGTTTCCTAAACACAAACACACTAAGAACATAAAACTTACCAAGATAGTAGTGACTACTATGGTTCGGTTCTCCACAGATGAAGTGTCATTAGAGGGCAGCTGGTCTAATGCTGGCACAAATCTTTCATATTCATTCCAATAACCAGCCTATAAAAATGAAGATGTTAAGACATTACATATCTTTACAAGGACTCTGGTACCTGAACTTGTAGGAAGAACTCTCAAAAGATATGGCTCTGTAACATTTCTCATGCCCCAGTTTTGCTATTTTTCATGCACCATTTTTGCCATTAAGGCACTACATTAGCTTTCAGTTAATTTCCTTAAAGAAACAATTTTCTCAAGCCCAAGAGCAAATTAACACAAGCCAAATCTAAGTGAAAATCCACATGACATTCTCCCTATCTAAATTCACATCATCATGGTGCCTGTAGAATAAATTCCCATGTGTCCACAGCATAAGAATATACTACAGACAAGAAAATTAACTGCACAGCATTCTGAGTAAAATTCTCTGATTTTGTAATTGGTATCCATATTCTGCTGCAGTTTGGCCAGTGAACACAGCCCCTGCAGCCCTGCCTGAGCTGGCTTTAGAGCAGATGCACAGACATCATTAGCAATGCAGGCACAGCAGCATTATCTTCAGTACAGGATACAAAACCCTCCGTGAGCACGAGGTGAGTGTTTATCAGTTGGCTGGTGCTGACCCTCCTGGTGCTGTGCCCACATCACTAGGCTATTGCACTAGATTTTATATTTCTGCACAACACAGAACTAATACTGTTGTCTGCACTGTACACCTACCTTGAGTGGCTGGGCCATGTCCAGAGGTATTTTGGTATCTAACATGGGCAAAAGTGTCTAAGGAGTCTCAGGAGTAACCAAGCAGGTTAGGTACCTATCACTAGGTAAAATCAGGGGGATTTAAGAGACTCAGGCACAGAATCCTTTTTCAGTACCTCTGTGACTGTGTCTACCTAACTATTTTTTCAAATCTGCCTTAAACTTCTTTTATAACACGGATCTAGGCAACTATCTCACTTAGGATCTATACTTTATTTAGGAGACAAGGGAATGAGTAGGAAATTTTAATCAAAACAACACTTATTTTCTGCAAATTTCAGATGGTTTCTCTGGTTCCAGCTTCACTATGGCTCCAAAGCCCAATATAGAGAGGGAGAGAAAGAGAGAAATTGTAGCAGTGGAAAAACTCCAGAAGGGTTTTAAGGGAAAAACTTGTGTCTGAAGTTGACATGGAAACCAATGAAGATATTAAGCAGGGCGAGCAGTTTAGTCCAGGAACTGAATTGAACAAGGGTCCTGGGTTAGGGTAGTCAGCAAGAAGGTGGAGGTTTCTCAGGGCTTATATTGCATCTCTGGTATTTTTTAAATTCATTAGTCTGTTGGAATAAATATTTGTGAAGGTGTGAAATCTGGATGCATATCTTGAAACTCACCTTCCGTGATCCACCGGCTTTCATTTCATACACATCAATTGTGTAATTTGCTCTCCGCCCATAGGTGTCAAACTGGATGTTCCCTGTCATTCCTTGAACTTGCACCTTAAGGGAATAAACAGAAGAAAACATTTTAATAAAAGATTAACTTTATTTTTCCCTCTGTTACATTTTGCAGGAAACCACTAGCTCTAGCAGAATTTTAATCTATGTAAGAGACTTGTAGTGCTTTTGACACAGCCAGTTATATTCTTCAAAACAAAAACAATCCCAGTTCTCTCAGTTCCAGCTGTACATATTTGTTAGTTAGTACTCACCTGGTGACTCTCTGCTGCAGAGTGAGCTGCATTTAAGTGAAATTAGCCCTGCAGGTATGTTAAATACAAAAAATACTGATTCTGCCATGCTTGGTCACGCTGGGTTCACTGGTACAGCACGGAGCATCAGCCAGGCACATGCAACAATTCAGTGCCATTAAACCCCTCACAATGTGGTACAGAGTGATCTGCAGTATGGACCAGAATGACATATCATTGCTTATTCCGGGAAGAGCTTTATTTTAAGATCAGTCCCAGTGCAGGAGAAAGGAACGAGTGTCTTCTCTGAATGAGCACAGACAATTGTCTCTACTGCTCATGGAGCTCTGGCCTCAGTCGGGATGGATGGGTGTACAGACAGTAACTCATTATCATTACCTACTCACATGAATCATCTAAAGGGGAAGTATAAAGCACTTTGTTTCAAAAAATGGTCTTTCTTATTTCCCTGTATGAAAGGGCGAGGTACTTTCATTTATCACTTATCAACACTGTCAAGGTGCCATCTCAGGCAGAAGGGTAACAGTCGCAAAATTCAGCAAGGGTAAATTAGCTTTAATATTTAGCAAAAGCTGTAAAAGTTACAGGAAGAGATGATGTTAGACTAGTCAAAGGCAAACTGTTCAGGGCTGGTGACTGATCTACAGTTCACAGTTTAAAGATGGTGGACAACAACCAAAATTCCATGGACCCCAAATTATCCAGTTAGCCAAATTCAGACCGGCATATAAGGAGTGTGTTTATTTTTATTGGTAAGTGGATTTGAACCTTTCTTAAAATAGTTTATGTCATTACAGGGGGCTGGAAGAAAACGTGAGTTATTCCTGTCTCCAGAAAGCTAGAGAGAAGAACTGAACTTTGAAAACCAAATTTGACCCTGAGAGGTCTTATCAACTGTGGACTGAGCAAATATATTTGTAGGGCAGTTGACACATGACTTGCAGCCAGCTGTGAGCTGCTGTGCCTGCTTTTGGCACTTGCTGGCAGCTGCCTGACTACCTTAGCACAGTAGTGACTGTGTGTCACAGCAGAGCCTGTTAGGCCAGCTTCATCCTGATGCATGTAGAGACATGAGCTTCATGCACTGGACACCTTTTGACTTCAAATTTAATTTGTTTCTATCTTTGGTGTGAAAACTCAGTTCTTTGCAAAACTTGGCTGCACCGAGGTGGAAGGCTCACCAGGACTCAAACATTTCTGGTAGCAGCGTGCCAAGGCAATTGCAAATGGGGTGACTACTTAAAAGTGTCACCACTGACCTGATGTCTTCTAACCAGCTCCAGAAACACAGACATGCACAGTTTTCAAGGCTGTAGAGAAGAAGATTCAAGTAATGCCTATTTCCCTTTTGCCAGCAGGATGACAACAGTGTGGCACTGAACCTTCTGCTGGCACAGGATAGATATTTCAAGCATGGCTCAGAAAAAGTATTCTTATCTGAGCTGATGCTACAGAGTGAAGAGGAAACATTATTAAATCAGAGGTTTTTTCCTGAAGCAAAGATTCAAGATCATTGCCTGAATAGGAAAGTGGGTGATGGACAGAATGGGGAATGGAAGGCAGTGTGGGATGATCTTGGGTAGCTATTGTTGGAGGTGTATATAAACATCATTTACATGACTTTGAATAGCTAAAGCAATACAAGGCAACCAGCTAAAAGTCCAACTTCTGCATTTTTTGCCAATCATGACTTTGGCTTTTTATATGTTTTTTAATATGTTTTAAAATAAACTCTCCCAAATGAGGAGTGTCCTGTAATAGTGTTGTTCTTTTTCTGTTGAAATAAATACCTCATACCTCATTCAGAGGTACAAGTAAAACTCATGTTTGCTTGTAATTAAGTTCAAATGAACAGTACAGATTCTTTAACTATTGTGAAGGTTAAATTTAATGAATTTATCTTCAAAAGTATGTCATGCTACATTAGTGAATGGACAGGCAGTTAGGGCATATGTTAGGAAAATAAAAATGGCATAAAAGTGGAAAAAATGGCATAAAAAGAACTGTGGCTCTTTTATGTGAGACTGAACCATCTCTCTCACTCTTATGAGTGATATAATCTTATTATAACAATTCAAAACTCATTATAACCTTCTGATATAATCCTTTCAATCTGGTAACTGAGAAAAAGCAGTAATTAAGCTAAGTGTATGAAGGATTTGTTTACACCTAACATGGGTTTAATTCTGAACTCAACCACTCTAGGTCTATGTCTGCATTAATATAGTCAATTCTAACAGGTTTGTTTGAGAGTTATTTGAGCCAGATCAAAAGCAAAGATCTTGCCTCTTGTATCTACAAAACATTATCCAATTTTTCCCACAGTCACTTGCTTAAACACAAACTGTAGCCTAAAAGGGTTAAAAATCAACAAAATTAGAGATATAAGTGAGGTAGGATCCCATGTTGTAACCAGTGTTAAGGATAAAAAATAGGCCATACAGAAGGTAATCAAAGAGAGTGCAAAGTTATGCTAGGAATCAGAACTGGTTGAAGGCTAAACTCTGTCAAGGTTCAGGCTGCTGCTGAAATCCAGCAGTACTGCTATGGCTGGCAACAATTTTTCCAGTGTTTTAAACCAATCCGAGTTGACTTTTTACTGGCAAATTATCAAAACTGCACACAGGGGTTTAAGGTCATAAATACGAGTATCCCTGCAAGATTTACACTACATGTGTTGAAGACTCAGTCTAGTTCTGTTAGTCAAGTTTACATGCTCAGTCTGACTTTAGAGACGTACAATACACGTTTGACTGCAAAATGGCTCATGCTTACTCTCATGGGAAGCTTGGGTGTTACAGGGGATCTGAGGGATTGCAGGTGCTCTGGTTGTGGACAGATGCTGCACCAGTGCCAGAGGGATGAAATTCTGGCCAAAGTTTTGAGAGCTATTTTCTTGCCCTCTATTGGATATTGAATATATTTCATCCATCCTTTGGAGTTTGTCACTATGTTTGTTTTTACTTTCTTTCATTTTTCCCTCTGAAGAGCTGCAGCAGTTTATGTGAGTACAAAAGCTCTGTGTACATGGAGTAGGACACAAGTACAGTCCCTGCAGAATCGCTGCTGTTGTGGAATACACACATTCACTAGTTGATATGTTTGCCCTTACCATTTTCAGTGCTCTTTCTATATCAATTCCTTGGCTCCATGGTACTGCAGGGTTAGCCAGGCAGTCTCCAGCACTGCCTCTCCTGGAGACATCCACACGCTGTCTTCGGAGGTAACGGAAAGCCTCTGCTATGACTAGGACTGCATCATGGGTCAGTGCAGATGTGTACTGCAATTGATGCAAAGAAAATATGGTGACAAACTGCAAGCTTAGAATTGCCTCAGGTGCATCAGGTCAAGTCTTCCTCTTTGTTAAAACACTCCTGGAAGAATCAAGCTTGCAAACCCATTTGCTTGCTATCTGTCTTTTGGCTGGTGCTTTATCTAGTTTAACAATTACACCTACTTCAATTAACAAATTTAAAATATTTTCATTTTGTATAGCATCAACATAACAAAACCAGTCCATAGTTGCATACTGTTTCAGTTTAACTGGAAGCTTGTTCGTCTAAATGAGGTTAGTACAGAAGTCTCCACTTCCATGCTGGACTGTACTGCTACCAAAGAAAAGCTCATATTGGGGTTTTTGCTTGGAGTGTGTTTTTGGTTTTAACAATATTGTCAAGACAGCTTTGAATTGAAGTTAACATAAATCATTTCTGCTTGGATCACAATACTGATTAGGTAGCATCTGTGGCAAGGAATAGATCAGATTACTTTTGTTAGAAAACAGCTATACAAGCAAGTAATCACAAAATACACTTTAGGCATTGCATCTCCTTGGTAATTCCCCATCTGCCTTCTCTTAATCCATGGTAAATCTGCAGAGGGTGGTAAACTCTGTGTAGCAGCAGCTCTTGAACAAAAATTCCAAATACCTGAACTACCTGTTCGTGTTGCTGTCAACATCATCTACTGCTTGTCACATGTATCTGGTGACACCCCCCAATGCTATAAACTTAGTATCACCTATGAAATGTCATGAAGATGGGTTTTCTCCACATTTTTTCCACATTTATGTGTTTGGCTGAAAGGTCCTCCCTCTCAGAGTGGCTTGGGCTTTACATATACCATCCCTGGGTTTCACTGGCATGACAGCACCCTATAACTTCAGGATCTGTGTAGAGGAGAGTCTCTCGGTGTGTACCTACCAGTAGCAACCAAATGTGCTCAGTGTACAGACCAGATTTCAAACCCCTTTGTGTCTCCACAGTGTTTGTAAGAGAATGAAGAAAAGAAGAATGTAAGGGGTATCTGCATGTACTGGTGTGTCTGCCCTTCTTTTGGCTGTCTGTGGTACCATAGAGATCTTGTCTCCCGAGGAACCTTATACTGGAGTTAGTGCCAGAAGACATACTGCCCATGTTCGAGTTAGAAAGGCAGAAATCCAAGTTCCAACTGCTTGTTCAGCTACTCTCTTTGTGGATAAGATTTATTATATTCAGAAGAAATTAATTCTATCCTGTAGGCAGGACAGCACAATTGGAGGTCTGGATTTCTTAAAACAGTGTATTATCTTATTGCAAGTTCTTCAGTCTGATAAAAAGCACTAGGAATTCTGCACAGAATAAGGTGTGCCTGCACATGCAGATCAAGAGAATTGTATCAGATAAAAAAAGAGTGCAAAGGGGGAGCTGTGAACAAGGTTATACAGAAGACATTCTTACTGAGCTTTAAAAGACAGCAATTTATAAACTCTTACTGGGTGTGTGTGGTGATTCCTGCTCTGACTCTATGTAGGCACAGGCACTCTTCTGATCCTGCCCACCTTTACCTCTCCCTGTGATGCTTGGCAATGATCACTCTCTCCTCTTTTCGTAAGTTAACAAAGGTTATACGTCACATTCCACATAACAATACAGAACCAGACAGTAATTTTAAGGTATTTGTTCTTGTATTAAAAAGATCTTGTAATAGCTGTCCAATCTAGCACTACATAAAACTTACACACTGATAATTTTTTCAGCAGACTGCGCCAATTGTCAGTAACCTTAATGCAGTCCCTTCCAAGTCATGCCAAGAGAGCTATCTAATTTTCTACTTTATTTGAATTCTACTTATAAATGCATGAGCATGTAAAGAGAAAAAAGAGAGAAAGAAGGGAAAGGCTGATAAAATGCAGAATAAATTAAACATCAGGGCTTTAATCTCTAGGCAATTTTATTTCCTAATCAAAAATATTGTACATCAATTTTTAAGTATGCTTTTTGTCTGATTGACAAATACTGTGCACATTTCTATAATGAGCAGTACATTTGTGGAAAGGTAATGTAATCTTTGTGTTTGTACCATATACTTAAGATTCTTTTTTAAGGAGGGAGAATAATTTTTCCCTCAAGGTAAATTGCTTTCAAGTGGAATAAAATCTTCTCAAGTTAACTTCATATATTTCAGAGCTTTTAAGATTAGTATGATACTTATCTTCACTTTGCATCACTGCTAGGAAGCTTTAGAAAGCTGGACTAGGTCCTAATTCACAGGCAACAATACACTAATCTGGGTTTTGTGGGTCTCTGTTTGCCTTTCTCTGCTTCCTCTGAAATGGCAGCAAGGCTGTGGGATGGCATATGATTAAGATAATTTTCCTCCCTCACAGAAATAACATGATCCCAGGGATGGAAAATATGTCTCCAAATCACTCTGGCCATTCATGAATGGCATTGCCAGAAGCAGCAGAACTTTGCAACTGATTCCTATTCTATCTGTAGTCCAACTCAGCACTACCACCTACTCTGGTAACCCCTCATGAATGGGACTGGACTTCTCCTTCCTATGTAGTATTTTAATGCTTTTCTGAATTTTGTTTTACTAATACCAAGACATCGCTCCAGTTTATCAAAGTAATTTTGAATTCCGTATCCGTTCATCAATTTGCATGTGTCCCAAATCAAACAGGAAAGACATTAACTGTCTCATCATGGCTGTGGTTCTTAGGTTTGGCTTCCCTGAGACAGTCTGTACACATGATGCGCAGGACTGGACTTCTGGGAGTGACAGAATTTAAGGTCCTCTCATCTACCACCAGACCCAGGTTTCATTCACCTATGGATATTGGTGAAAAAGAACAAACCTCACCCAAAGACAAGGAGAAAGAAGGAACATAACAGGAATATTAGTAATATGCAGTAGTCCTAGATTTTATGACTTCCATGCCTGGACAGAGTATCCTTCATGCACTCCTCAACTAGACAGTGAACAGCATCCCCCTCTACTATAGAGATACTGAGGAAGAACAGATCTGGGCGCGATACCAACAGGTATCCTAATAACAATTGCATTTACTTCACCCAATCTCTGACAGCTTTAGTGAACTGGGACTTCCATTCAAAAAAATGTGAAAAGTTTTATTGGTTACAGATATAATAGCCAGTCTGTAAGTAAAGGACAATGGTGCAAAATACAGGGTTAGGCTATGACAGCAACTGTCAGCAGTGACTAGGAGGTGGCAGTGGCTCCTCAGTGAATCCAGAGCTACCTCATTTTTGCACATGGGATTAGCATTAAAATGGGCTAGTAAACCACACTTTGCAACAAAAACCTAACCTAACTAGTCCCCACACCCACCCCAAGACTAACTCAAGAAGTTCAAGTTAGAAGTTTTTATTTCCACTGCACGACAGCATTTGCAAGACCAAGCTCTGAGGAATTCTTACCACAGTGGGCACTTGTGTCTGACTAACAGCCTCTGCCTGTTTCCTCTGGAAGGGCGGTGAATGTTGCAAGATATTCTAATCAGGAATCTCTATCATACACATGCACATATCTGAGGTTAAAAGCTCCAAAAGAATTGTTAAAAGCATATAGTTTCCATCACTGTGAGGTTAAAATAAATACCTTTAATGGTGAGTTTTTGGCTTCAGGGAATTCCCTTTCATCAAGCCTCACCCAGCGCTGTAGAAATTGTTGAACCATTGGGTTTTCATTATTAACAATCTGGAATCCAGTAATGTTGGCACCTCCATGCATTACTCTCTCCAGAACAATGTCTGTGAAACCCTGGGAGGACACATGTAGAAAACAAGAATCATTGTCATCCAAAGACCCTTTTCTTTGGCTCAAGTTTACCTGCTACAAATGCAGCACAAAATAAACAGATTAATGTCTCTCTTGTTAGCTGGAAATATTCTACTTAGGACAAAATTACTATCACAATTAGGATTGTGATAGTGGCACAGAATAGAATTTAAAATGTCTTTTTGTTCAGACCTTTGCAATAGAACACTGCCCTGTTGGATTGTGGCAATGTAATATTCACTGTCCAGAAAGAAAACAGCAGGGAAACTTGAAGTACCATTTCTTCTTTTCTCCTCATCATACTTAATACTGGTCAAAGACCTCAAATCCCATTTGTACAGAAAAGTGCACAGGAAGGGTCAGAGCTGGGAACAGAAAACCACTCGACACTCAACTGTTCTGTGGAGGCAAAGTGCACAGCTCTTGCCAGGCAGTTCTCCATCACAGCATCACTTAGCATTTCACTCGCAAACGGAATGGGATGATTCTCTCCCACTCTGTTGTTATTTATACCTGAGGCAGTAAATTGGAGCCTTTTTGATTAGTATGACTTGATTACAGTCATGTTTATCTGAATGTCAATGGTTACACATGCTAAAAGGCAACCCAGAATAAGAACCTCTGTATTTCTATGCACATGCTAATCAGTGAGATCATGACTGGCTCTTAAAATGCAAAATGACACATCTTAAAGTCATACAGTACTTATACTAAATAAGGATATTTAAAAATCTGTCTTTTCTGCTTTAATCAGACCAAAACATGGATACAGAGAATCTTTGAGTAAGTAGGATTGCTAACTAGAAAGTGTGAGTTTTGGAAAAACATTTTTCCACTCACAGTAGACACAGAACTCAAAAAACAGTCTTCCTTCAGGATTAATTACAATATAAGACTTTTTCTAAGGAACTTAAGCAGATGGTGTTTCAAAGGCATCACAAACATTCCTGAGAGTCAATCCCACAATCCTGAAGAACCTCTGATACAGATAAAAATGTATTGCCTCTTCCTGGTAGGTCAACACATACATAGACACAACCCTACACTCTGAAACACAAAAGAAAAGCTAAACAGCCTGGCTGGTTGACTTGATGGAATTGTTCTAATTTGCAGCTTTTTACCACTTATACATAAATGTGCTACAATCATTTTTCCTGGAGTGCTTAAACTTAAAATATGATACACAGACAACTACAGCCACAAGCATCTAATTTATGAGAATACAAATGAGTGGACAACATATAATTAAATTATTAATTTAAAATTATCAGAGTATATGAGATTCTCAGACAAAAGAAAGACCATAACTGAGTACATATGACATACCAGTTCTAGTATTTACCAAAGTAATTTCTCAAAATCCACGAACTCATCCATGCATTTCCACTTCCTGATTAAAGTTGGCACAACCTGAACAGAATATATTACCCTCTAAAATGTAGCTATACTTGTCATGAAGAAAAGTTCTTACCAGGTTAGCTAACATGTAGTGATAGCCTCTAGAATGTTTGCCGAGGATTACAACCTGTGTGAAGAAAAAAAATACATATTATTCATTTTTAAGATGATTTAGCTAGTGGAAAACAGTCAGAGAACGAACATTTTGCAATCCTCTACGCTCAGTCCATGGGCAGCATGAGTATTAGAGATTTGTGGCATTACAGTCATGATGTGGTCATTTGTGTTTTTAAAGCACATGGGCAGAGTACAGCAAAGAGTAACTCACAAGGCTGAGGAGACTCCACTTGCAGAGATGATCTTACCTGGCAATCTTACCCTTGTGATCAAAATGTCTTCCCTTGCTGACCAGGCAAATTTTAGTTGCCAATTCAAGTATTTCTGCTCTGAAATGAGGTAATACTATATCTACCCATTCAGCTGACTTCTGTTTACTTTGTTCCTTGTTTGTGGAGTCTATGAGAGGTGGAGGACAGAGCCCAGCCACTCACAGTTTATTAATCCACACCAGCACAGCAGAGCTGGGTAGGCTTCAGGTTGTACAAGGTATTTCCTGCCATGAGAACCCTGGCCAAGCCTTGTCATACATCGATGCTTAAAGTTAAATTCCCGAAATTATAAGCAGTGACCTTCATTGCCTTTTGACAGCTTTCAAAAGGCCTCAAAACTTGTCACTTCCAGTGCATCTAAGTGGACACATCTGACCTTATATGTTTTGTCAAAAAATTCTACTGAAGGTTACATTGCACATTCCACTAAACAACATCTCCTGCCCTCCCTGACTCCACTTGGGCATCTCTCTGTACAAACAGAGTCACTAAATGGAATCGCTAAGAGACAAAAAAGGCATCAGGACGAACTAAGCAGCTGGATTCTGTAAGGGTAATGGGGAAGAGTGGAGGCAGCACTGTCTGGCAAGCCTGACCTCTGCCATCCTGTGTGCTTGTTCCCACTCCAGGAATGCTGTGCTTTCCCATAAAGAAGGAAAACCCACACTTCCCACATCTATGCAGCTGGCTGCTGGCTCAGCAAGCAATATCCCTTGTGCAAGGTTATAGCACTGCACTTAGCACTGTGGGCTTGCCTTCAGATTATAAACTCAGTAACACCTATCCAGTCCCACCATCATCAGGTGGAATAACATCCAGCAGTAAGAACTGAATTTATAATTGTGGTGATTGCATGTGTGTCAGGACATAATCCATTTTACTCAGAGTTGCCAGGTTAAAAATAGCAAACATGATGCTGGCGATAAAAGTGTACGACTGACTGTATCCTATGAGCAGCTTAAGTGAGCAGATGATGCTCTTTGATGGAGAATCATCTGAAGATCTATACATACCATAAAAACATACTTCTCCATGGTCACAGAAAAATGCTCCAAACACCATACATTAAAAGACATCTTTTCAACATGACCACTTCTGCCTTTGCTAAAAACAGATGACATTTGAGTCATTGACTTTAGACAGATAGACTGCTGAGCCTGTTCAAGCTCTTGATTAAATTATTAAGTTCCCAACTGCCTCTTTGAGTAGTATTGTCCTTAATAGATGCCATTTCTTTTACATTCACATTTAATTCTGTAGGAATTTGCATACTTCCAGCAGTCTGAAAATAAATTGCTGCTCAGGTCCTCTTGAGAACTGTATGTACACTCTAGTTGGTAGAAAGCATCTGCTTTCCTACACTCAGATTTGTTTTCTATGGAAATGTGAAGGCTTCCTTCAGATCATCTGGTGTGCATGCTATTTGCATACTGAATCCTCTCTATGTTTTAATTTTACCTTAAAGGCAGGTTAGAGACAAAGAACTTAAATAAGAACAATAGTAGTCTTTGTGGTTTTAACCTTAATAACAAATAAGAAAGCTTTTACATTTCTATCCAGAAATGTATTTATTTAAGAGGAAAATATCACCACAGATGAAGTTAGAGGCTGTAAGAAAAACATACATGGAGCTGCTACAGGCATCAGGAGCAATACTGCAAATAGGAAATGTAGGGCTCATTAGCATAGCTCAGACTCAACTTCCATCTCATCTGTTGTCATGTCTCCAAAAATGATCAGAAGTAATTCTCTTTAGTCCCTTAGAGAGGTCCAACATACTACAGTCAAGCTTTAATTCATACAGCATCCTTCAGAAATGACCTGCCAGCAGCATTTCTACTCACAATCAACCCTGTTAGTTCATAACTATTGAACTGGATCTTAACAACGTTTTTAAAATTCATTACACACTACACTGCTGTCCTAAATCTTAACAAGTACAACTCTCCTCCTCCCTCACTTTCCATCTTCTACCAACTGTCCAGCATGTTGAAGGGAGTAGCTGGATTAGTGAGCCCAGCAGAAACAATCACAGGCATGTGTTACTCCTAGGGGAGAGAAGGGATGGATAAAGCTTTTTTTATGAAGAAGGAAAACAGGACTATAACAAATAAATCTCATCAACTGCTAATATATTGTGAAGCTTATACAGAAAGTGGGATATTGAATAGTGGAGGTGAATAGAAAGCCAGGATTACAGGGCAGGGATTTCACAGGGCTACATGTCTTTCCTAAGTTTGACTTCCGAGACTTAATATTACTTTCACCTTGACTGAAAGAAAAGCTTATAAGACTTTACAATGAACAAAGGAGTAGAAGAAAAAAATGGCTGGAAACCATCATGAATAATTCAGATTTTTGATCCCACATAATTCTTACTTTGTAGATAAAAAGATCATAATGTCAGGTTTGATAAAGAATCAAATGAAGTTTGTATTTTTAATTAACTCTTCAGATATTTCCAATTAATTAAGAGAAAATCTAGAGGGAACATAATTAAAATGTATCTGGTTTCAAAATAAGAGATCTGCTGGCCAGCACCAGGCTTACTGGAAGTACAGACCTATATGCCAGATTGAGAAATTAAGTCAGCATTGCCAATTTTACATTTTCATTTGCCTGGGGAAGTTATTTTTTGAATGCAAGCATAAAGACAATTTGATTTCCACTGCATCAGTTATCATTATAATTAGGCAACTACAAATTTTTGCTTTAGCTTTCACATTTTTCTTACAGTTTTCGAAGATAGTACAATAAAGATTAACTGGCTAATATTAAATTGGTGTGAACCACTGTGATACTTCTAAAGCAATAATGACTATTCTTTCATGATGTAGTTCAAAGACACCTAAGAGGAAGGACAGTGAATAGGAAGCAAAATAACTTTAATACTAACCTCACAATTACTCCATTATCTTTTGACTTATTTCCTAGTCAAATTACAAGCACAGCCAGTTCCTGATCTAGAATATGGATCTGGGTTTTTGGCTACGAAAATTAAATACCGGAGTTAAGCATGAAGGGAACATTATAGGGAAACTGGTGAACTCTTAGATGAAAGTTGAGGCACAAAAAGTCAAGGAAATTTCTTTAAACAGCAGTGATGGAGAAAGATCCAGGGGTTTCACTGGAATATTTCTCCAAGGACTCAATGATGAACTAGAATGGTAAGAACAAAATGTGTAGGTGAGCAACAGTAGCAGAGGCAAGGAAAGAATGGGCTAACAAACAACAAAACTCTGTGGACTCAAAAGAAATCAAGCAGTGGAAGGATAGTGCAAGCTCAGTAGGTGGGACTGAGCAGTCACAGTTTGTCCTTTAAAAATATCAGTGGTTTGTCTTTTACTTTTTTTTTTTTTCCTTTCATGGATGGAAGAAATCACCAGACAGGTGAGGTTGGCAGAAGTTTCTAGAGGGTGTCTGTTCCAACCCACTAGCTCAAAGCAGGAGCAGCTAAAACAGGTTGCTGAGCACCATACCCAGTCAGGTTTGAATATCCCCAGGACAGATTCCACAAGCTCTTTGGGCAGCCTGTTTCAGTGTCTGACCATCTTCACTGTAAAAAGTATTTTTCTTATGTTCAAAGAGAATTTCCTGTATTTCAGTTTGTGCCCTTCCCTCTTGTCTTGTCATTGGGCATTGCTGAGACTCTGAAACTCAGTGAGACTCTCTGAGAAGAGTTTGGGTCCATCTTCTTCATTCCTACCCATCACATATTTGGAGACAACATCACCCTTGAGCTTTCTCCTCTCCAGGCCATGCAGCTATGAAGACCAAGCTCTCTCAAGACTTTGTACATCAGATGTTCTAGTTCCTTAATGGCCAGAGCCCCCTCCCTCGACTTTTTGCAGGATGCCCATGTCTTTCCTATACTGGTGAGCCTGGAACTGTACATGACATTTCAGATGCAGTCTCACCACTGCAGGGCAGAGAAGAAGGGTCACCTCTACTGACCTGCTGACCATGCTAACCAGTGCAGCCCAGAATGCTGTTGGCCTTCTTTACTGTGACAGTGCAGTGGTGGCTTGTGATCAACGTGACTGCCAGGACCCCAAGATCCTTCTCTGCAGAGCTGCTTTCCAGCCAGGAAGCCTCTACCCAGTTTGTACTATAGCATGGGGTTATTCTTCCCCTATAGCAGGGCTTTGCATTTCCCTTTGTTAAACTTCATGAGGTTCTCCTCTGTTCACTTCACCAGCCTGTCAAAGTATTGTAGCACAGCTACCTGGTGTATCAAACACTCCTAATTCGGTGACATCTGCAAACTTGCTGAGACTGCAGTCCATACCACAACCTTCAGATCACTTATAGAGAGGTCAAACAGTATTAGCCCCAGTACCCTGAGGGTACTCTAAATAGCAGCTAGCCTCCAGCTGGCCTCTGTGTTGCTGATCACAACCCTCTAAGCCCAGAAGTTCGGTCACTTTTAAATCCAGCTTCCTCTGTGGGCTTTGATTTTAAAGAGTCATTGAAAAATACGAGCTAAGAGGATATGCTGGTACTTTTACTGAGAGAAGTAGGTATCACGATTTTGGCAGCAGTGAAAGGAAAACTACCATGTCCAATTAATACCTGTTAGGAGCTCATCTTCCCTTGATTTGAATACACTGCCATCTGGTCTTTTTTGTCTGTTTAATCAAAGTTATTTATCATCCTCTATTTACAAATGAGAAGAGAAAGAAAAAATTAGAACACAAAAGTACAGAATACCTCATCTACAGCTCAAACCCATGATATT